TTTTTTAAATATGAATCAAATTATATGCAGAAAAAAACCTATTTTTTAATTAATTGTATGTATTTTAAATAAATTCAAAATAAATTACTATAAGATCATATAAAAGTGAAAGAAGAATCATATATTAATGTTTAAATTAGGTAGAGATGTTTTAAGAAAATTAGCAATTAATCGAATTTAGAAACAAAATCAATTTGTTACCATATTTGGAAGCCATGGTTTCTAAGATTTTTTAGAAAATATTTTGTAATATTAGTTAATAGATAAACAATTATGACAATGGCATTCTCTTGTAAATAAGTGTCAACTCGAGGATTTATTTCATATTTGAACTTCAAAAATATATATCTATATATAGTCATATAAGTAAATTTATACGTTTTAGCTCTCACACACACACACACACACACACACATATATATATATATTGAAATTCTTAAATAAACTTGTATGCATTAATTTTATTGAATAATATTTTTATTTAAAAAAATATAAATTATTTTGGTGACTCAAAATATTAGAAAATATTAATTAATATTTGAATTATTATATTTATAATGTGTTTGTGATTGTAAGAGTAAATATTAACTATACTTTAAACATATATATGTATATATGGATTCCGCAAAATAGTTTTTCACTAATCAAACATTATTTTGCACCGCTTATTCTATCAAAATCGCACTTGTCCTGCAAATACGTTTCTCCCGCACGTACCGCAGTTAAACCGTACAAATACTACTTCGAATCGAAAACGGATTACAAAGGTCCAGATATCACATGTGTCATGGTTATCAGGTTTATCAGGTTTTGATACACATTTCGCAGGAGGGTGTAGCCCTAAATGTGTTTAATGAAGATAATATGCCAGATTTATGATTGTGTCTTTTTTCAAGGTATCATGGGTTTTAGTGCCTAGTGTTACGTATATCAGAGTTTTAAATTCTCTTGAGGAGGCTTTCCATGAAATCTGTTCAGGCCCAGTAACTTTAAATTCTCTTGAGGAGGCTTTCCATGAACTCTGTTCTGGCCCAGTAACTGCTAGTTTAGTTGTTTATAATGAGCTTTGGGATATTAGAGAGGGCATATACTGTGGGTCTACGACTGCGTTTTTAACATTGCAAGTTTATCATGCCGTCAACATTGCCGCAATTATCCAAATTAACGAATGGGCCAATAAGAAAATTTAGACTTGGGCCCAATCAATCTAGTATTTATTTGTGGATCCGCGTTCCTTTATATGTCGGGTCAAATCCGACCCATATAAAACTAAAAAGATCCGCGCGTTTTGTCTGTGACTTTTACAATTTTTTCCTGCTAGCAAAAATTTTATTTGCCCTTCAATATTATTATTTTCAATAGTAATTTTTGTAATATACCATATGATTGTTGGTTATTTTGCTAACAAAACATTGCTCAAATAATATTATAGAGATTCAAAATATTATTTTTGGAAAGTTTATCGATTTTTAAAATGTGTTTGGTAGTTGGTTAAGAATATTATATATATATAAGGATATAGAATTATAAGCGTTTGGCAATAGATATAGCAGAATTAAATGTAAATGGCTTTTGTACAAAAAATCCCTCTAACTCGCCCATTTTTGCAACTTTACTCTATATCTCCGAAAAATACAAATTAATCCTACAAAGTCCAAAATAATACGCAATATAACCATTATACGTATATTGTAAACGTTTTTCCGGTCACATACATTAGATTTTTAAAATTCTAAAAGCATAGTTGAACTCTTCATTGCGAGGGTTTCGATTTGATATATTTGTCAAATTTTTACGAACTTGACGATAACGAATAAGGGTTACATTGCGTATTATTTTGGACTTCGTATGATTAATCTGTATTTTCCGGAGATAAAAGATAAAGTTGAAAAAATGAGCGAGTTAAAAGATTTTTTTGCACAAAACCCAAGATAAAAATAAAAAGTAAGAAAGTTTTTGGGCTTGCCACATAAGCATAAGAATTCTAAGCTCTAAACTTTTAAATACACATCATTTTTACTCGAATAATTTAATATTGACATCAATTTTTCTGATAATTAGATCATCAATCCTAATTTTGAATTTGTGAATGTCACTTGCACAAATGAATTCATTTGATGTAATATTAAATCGCCCAAAAAATCTGGCAATAACATATTTTTATTGTCTTGTTTTGACATTTGTAAGAAGATAGAAACATGCAAAAAGACAGAGGATCAAAACTATACCGTAAGAAAAGCTCGTTCAGATTCAGAGTACTAACAATAAGTTAGAAAACAATAGTAAACTCATTTCCTTTCATAAACTTCAAGTCGAGTGAAATACTCTTTAGATGTTGGAGAGTAGGAATTAGTGTTAATTTGTTTATAAATGGAGCTCAAATAATAGATAATTCCAATAAGAAAAGTTAGATTGCTACACACATGTTGAAGGTCGATAAGTAAACATAAACTCCAAATTTGTTTGATGAATTTACCTCAATGAAAAGAAAATGTCCTACAAACTTTTCAAGACTCGGCTGCCTTTCAAGGATTTTAAAGATATTTGATTGAGAAGTTTTCATAAAGGAACCCAATGATTTGTATATCCACGATAGAAACAAGCAGTGAAGCTAATTGTTGAGTATTTTCAAGTCGTAAAATATGTGGTAAGATCGAAATTTTGAATTGTTAGCAAAAGGGATTAACAAAACAATCCATTTCAAATCAATTTACAAAATGTCCATCCTATCTTAAATCAACATAATAATTCTGATGAGAAAACTCATCAACATGGATGGATAACTATCCACTAGAGCGCAAATAACTTGCATATCCACAAATAAATCCTTATAAATTTTTTTTGGAAAAACTCAAAATCAAAATATTTTTAATCTTGCGAATGAACAGTAGATCGTTGATTACAAATAACTGTGAGAAAGAATAGGAGCAAATACTGAGGAAGATCACGACTGAGATGACACTGAAAATATAATCCAAAAAGTCGATTGATATAAATTATTTTGGGTTAGATCCGAGGTTCTTGGTTTTCAAGGATTCAAAATCAGTATCCGAGAAAAGGCTCTGAAACCAAGATCAGTAGTTAAGGAATTGATACTGATAAGGTTCAGTCAGAATTCTGGAATAAACAACACATTCTTGAGAAAAATGTGAATGTTGATCATAATTGTTCCCAAACCATTGATTTTAACAGTTAAACTTGTTGGCAAATTCACAAATTTCACAATAGTATTATCAAAGATTAAGAATAGGTTTTTATCATGTGATACATGATGAGTTGCTCTAGAATCTATCACCCACGTATTGGTTTTTATCATGTGATACATGATGAGTTGCTCTAGAATCTATAGTATGTAGCAAGAAAAAATGAAATACCAGTGTTATCAATCTTGGATTTGTTAACCTCGTTAGAATTAGAAATTGGTTGAGTATGTAGCTGAGAGCTAAATAGAGTTATGAATTGTTGTAATTGATCTTTGCTAAGATTGTCAATCATACTCTCTAGATTGTTAGGTGCAATATTAGATGGAAAAGAAGCCAAAATAATGTGAGCAGCTACAAGACGTGGTTGAATTAATTTATCAAATACCTTTGACTTTGGAGTGAAGCGAGGAGGGAAGCCATGCTCCTTTTAGCATCTTTCTATTATATGACTAACCCTATTACAAAAGGAAAAAATAGGCTTTCCTTTGTTTGGTCTAGTATGAACATAACAAACAGTTGGATCATGTCCAGAAGAGGGAATAACTTTAAAGCCTTGGAACGCAACATGTGGATCAACTACATTAGAGAAGCCTCTTTGACTATCATCTAAGTCAAGAATGTTGTAGACTTCAGCTATGTAGGGAAAACCTTCTTCATGATTTGTCTCCAAATAATGGCATAAGAATCATTAAGTCCATTAAAAAACTTAACTATCTTAGCTTGCTATGCCTTCTGACGAGCAGTCTTATCACAAATACATGGATCATCAGGTTCATTTGTACTTTCCAAATTATCCCACAATGTCATCAAAGTTGTATAGTCATCTCAAAGTGACATTGATCCTTGACGCAAATCTTGTATTTATTGAGTAAGTGTTAAGTGATATTTCTCACACATTATATATATATATATATATATATATATTATATTTATTTTATCGAGTCTTTTAGTCGAGAACATGTCGTTTTTGATTTTTTTTAATGTTTCCAGGTTTCTGGACCTGCGGATTGGAAATGGGTTTTTAAGAGAAAGAAATGGACCAAAACGCGTCAAGAGAAGAGATGATCCATTAAGAGGACATATTGGTTATAAAATCAAACCGATCGGTACAGAAAGGCGCCACCCACCGATCGGTTGGGATACATAACCGATCGGTTGGGATTTTGTAAATCTTCTTTTTTTTCTTAATTTTAAGGTTGTGTTCCAAAGCCTATATATACCCTTTATTTCTGTAGCCGTAGAACATACTTTCTTATATGATTTTTTATATTTTATTAAGGTGTATTATTCTTCTTTTTTTCTTCTTTAGATTATTTGCTTTAAAATTATTAAACCTTTTGGTAGTTCTTTCTTAAGTCTCACTACAAGAAAAATCTACATTCTTATCACGAGAGAAACGCTATGTTATGTCATTAATAGCATTTTTATAAACGCTATTTTATGCCCCTGTTATCGTAAGTACCCCACATAAGATAGCGTCAGATACAGATGCTATGTTAAATACTTCTATTATAGCATTAGGGAAACGCTGTGTGTTCAAGCGTATTTATTTGTTTGAAATTTTGCAATTACTCATTATCCATGCTATGATAGGGATATTTTAGTTTAGTTTATGTTTTTTATAAGAAATATTTATGCTATGAGATATTATCTTATAGCGTTTATATATAAGATAAAAAATTAGTAATTACTCATATATTGCGCTACAGTAGATGACTCTAACATAGCATTTTTTAAATCTTACATTTTGAAAACCAATAGATTTCGTAGCAGGTTTTTAAATGCTATTATATTTGTTTTCATGTCACTGATTTCTTTTTTTTTATGACACACCTGTTTTAAAATCCCCAAATACATCATTAATAACTTCAAATCCAAGATACAATTCACAAGACATGTTTCACATAACAAGCTAACAAGTTTTCCAAAGATCCTGTCAATTCTCTCCTTAAGATCCAAAACCAACCAACTAAAAGTCTGAAAACAAGTTTTCCAAAGAAGTTTCACAAACCAAACCTCAGGCCATGATCACTTTGTCCTCAGGCCATGCAATAACTGTCCCAAGGGCATCTTCCATAATCTCTATTTCATCTGATTTCCTCCAAACTTCTGCATCGCTAACTTTGACAATATCTACCCACACTTTAACAGCATTAGAACCCAAAGGAACAAAGTGAACCTTCTGGTTTGGATCATTTGTTGCCCATCGTCCTTCAGCAACTACTCGACACTTTCCGGTAATGTCCATCAACTTGCATCTCTTATTCTCCTTTGAACCATTTTGCATGATACGCTGCCATGTTTACAACATAAAACAAAAGGTCAGAATATTGACAGAAGTAATCAGACCAAAATAAAATAGAAATACCTGTGATTTCCGGATAGGAGACTGTGAATCTGGTATAGTTTTCCTTACTGGAGAGCTTGGGCGTGTTTCAGTCTCAATAGGAGATTCAGAACCTGACCCTGAAGATTTAGAGGCATTAGACGCTGGTTTATCACTTGTCTCCGCAGATTTTGTCCCAACTGCAGATTTAGATCCTGAAGGTATATCAGTTGATGCAGAATGCTGTCTAGGAGACTGAGTCTCAAAGCTAACTTTATTGACAGGCCATGAAACAAAAGCCATCAAACAGTCCTCAAGGTATGCCATATCAATTGTAGGCCTCCATATGAATGTTTCTGGTTGAAGCACTGAATCCACAAATACTTTTACTGCCTTTGGTCCAAGAGGTAGTCCATTAACCAATGCAGTTTCTTCTTGTGTCTGCCAACGACCCTCAGCAACAATCACATCATCATTAGACAAATCCAGCAGTTTACATTTATTCATAGAGTTTGCTCTTAGGCCCTGTCAAAAACATTTTGAAAATAACTCATCAAATACCAACTCATAAACAGGCTCAGTAATATAGTGCATCAATATAAAGTTTACCAAAGGCGCAATGTCTTCTATTTGGAGCTCTTTGTCCAAAAGAACACACTTAGAGGCTGGCCATGCAATAATCTGTCCAACAGCTTCCTGAATAGTAAACATCTTAGTTGCTGGTCTCCAGAGGAATGCATCTGCTTTAGTAGCAGTTTCAACCAACACTTTAAGATCTGTAGGGCCTAGACGACAGTCATTCACTAAGTCATCAGGATCAGAAGATAGAATACGCCCCTCACCAATGTTTTCATCACTACCAGACCAATCAACCAATACACACTTAGGGTGTGATCTTTTGTTTACACTCTACAAAATAGAAATTTAAGTCAGAAATAACAATAGTAAGAAGGATTCATGGATCTGATATAAATTACTTACTCTGGCAGCTGAGTTTTCACCTATTTCTGGTTCTTGTCTCTATAACATAAAAGAATAATGTCAGTTCTCATATATATATATATATAATCTTAGCTGCTTGGATCATTAATTGTGTAAGTAGTTAACCTGCTTCTTCATTTTGCTAAGTTCCTCCTCCAATTCATTCACCTTCTTCAGTAACTGAACCTGCTTCTCTTCCATGCCAGTCATAACCTTGGTCTTCACTTGGAAACAAGCTAATTTGGTCTTACTCATGCCTCTACCCATTGCCCGCAGCCTACCAGGATTGTCGGGTCCTAAAAGTTGACAGAGGTGATCTTCTTCTGGATTTGTTGTGGTTGTTGGAGCATCACTTCCAACAAGCTCAAGAAGCTCATCAAAGCTCTTGTCAGACCATCCATTCTTGGTCTTAATCCTAAAGAGAGACACAATAGCCGACAGCTTGCTGTGGTTAATACAATCAGGATATAAAGGGGTTTCTGCATCTGCTAGCTTAGCTAGGAACTCATCTTCTCTCTTGTCCTCAACCTCTGCAATCTCACTTAAGTCAGCCACTGGATTGTCACCTAGCTCACCATTACTAGCCAACTCTTGGTCATGGTATTCAGCAGCTCTGTATAACTCAAGAATTTCCTCATTCCAATGATTTACTTCCCTTTCACATTCTCCATCAGCAACTGAGTCTCCATGATGGTACCAATCACTTTGCAGCTTGTAAGCCTCATCCATCCCTCTTGTTACAAGATGAACCACCACATCACTACTTGACTGGCGGTATACATTACGACAGTCTTTGCATGGACATATTATCTTATCTATATCTCCTAAAGCCGCAGCCACATCAATGACAAATCTCCGAGCACCTCTCTCATAACCAGGATCAGCTCTTCAATGAAGAAGTAAAGTAGAAAAAAAAAAATTTCATCTCTTAAAGTATCTAAACCCCATTTTAAAGCAAACCTATCTAAATAATTTTATTCCTTACCTGCATAGATGCACCCATGCCTTGTCCAACATTATATGTTATAAGCTTAAATAAAACCTTATTAACAGAAATTGAAACCATAATCAACAATAGTCACAGAGAAAAATCTCATGATAAGAGAACTTATCATGATCAGACAACTTATCATGAAGACACAATATAAACTGAACAAAATGCTAAAGACATACTAAGCATTAAGCAACTTACACTATCTCAGAAACAAACAAATTAACAAAACAAGAATAGTGACAACAACTTTAACAAATTGACAACAGTCACAGCAACTTCAACAAAACCACAACAGTCACAGCAAATTTATCAAAACCAAAATATTCATAACATATACAATCAAAGAATCACAGCAAATTTATCAAAACCAAAACATTCATACATTCAAGGACTAACCTGTCGTCTGAGTACAACAAAGGTAAAGCTTCAGTTCTCCAAGATTTCAATCACCAACACTCGCCAAAAAAAAGCAGAATCAAAAAAGCAGAATCAGTATAAGCTTGAAAAAAAAATCTAACAACAAATCAAGTAGGAGAAATATAAATCGCAAAAACAAGATCTATGTGAAGAGAATGTGGATTAAAATGAGTAACAGACATCAAAATCGCAGAAGTTTTCGCTTTACCCTAATTTCAAACTAATCGAAGAACCCTAATTTGAAAATGTTTAAAAAAATCCGATTTTTTGTACCAATCTACTGAACTAGGTTAAAATTAGAGACAATCTTCACCAAAAAATCAATAGAAATGGAAGTAATAGCAACGAAGAAAGACATGCATGCCTCGATTTTAGCTAGCTGACGGCCGCTGCGAAGGAGAATGTGGCTACGGAGGAGAACTCTGAGATATCAAATCCGACCTTAATACGCCGCAGAGGATAGAGTATTTGAGAGTTGAGCTAAATCTGAGATATCAGAATGAGTTTTGTCGGAAAAAATTTCGAGAGAAAGGGTTTTGTTTTTGGTTAAGTGTTTTGACTGAAGGGGGAAATGAAATTAGATCTGAGGCGCTAAAGGGTTTTTTTTGCTAAGTGTTGGCGGATTAAGTCATTTTAGATTCCCGCTCATTAAATTTCTTTCATAGCGTTTATACACCGCTATTATAAAGAAACCCAAAAAAAAAAAAATCTACCATAGCAGGAACGGAAAAAACGCTATACTCGTGTGCTATCAATGTTGATATTTGTTGTAGTGTCTTGATCCTTCTTCTATAATGATTACATGTACTAAGATAAAAACAAAAATTACAAGAGAAATGAAGGGAGAAGAGTTTGATCCCTTAACCTTTTGGGTCTACACCGATGCAATGACCAATCTACTACTGAAAGTTTCACAAATTTTAGTTATTCTACTTAAAACTACAAGCATGGGCTTGGCACGCTTGTACGGCTCTGATAGCTCTAATACTATATTAGTAAATGTGAGTCTAATCCACACCTAAAAACTAGTTTAAAAGTGGATATGTTGCCCAAAAAAACTTGTCAACTTTTGATGTGGAACATTTCTAATAATATAGCCAACGATCATATACTGAAATACTTTTTTTGTCAACAGATCATCGATATTTGTGATTACTGATGGATTCGGTAATATGTAAATGTAATTACCTGCTTTCTTACAGTATTTAGTTTGAGTTTCATGCTTTTTGATATGGCAATAAAAGGTTAGCAACTAAAGGATAAAGACAAATTGTAGACTGTAACCGTAATGAGATACTGCAAATGGGTAAAGAATCGTATTCTTCCACAAACCACAAATTTGTTTGGCAAATATCAATCAACTCAAAAAGGTTGATCACATGCATATTATGTAGCTAACACCGACATATCAAACTTGTCCTATCAAATATCCTTAACATAAATCACCAACCCTACTCACACCCACCAAAGCAGCCCATCATTTTTCCCAAATCTATAAACACAACACAATAATACAACAGTGACAATTTTTGCCTTTAAAGAAAGAACGTTTTCATGTGACTGGATAAAAACGACGTCGACGTAGTAGCACGAAACTTCATAGTCCGTACCAAATCTTTTTTTGTTTTTAATTAAAGTCACATTTATTGTGGGATCAATATTACTCTCCATGGATTATTTCATACTATATAATTTACACACAAATAATCATAAAGCCAAGATAAAAAAAAACGTCTTTCACTATGTGTTAGTCTATATAATATAGATTAAGTCTCAAACCCAAATCACAAACTTCACTCAAAACATAATTAAATTAGAGAGAAAGAGAGAGAGAAAGTGTTGCAAAATGGGTTCTTCGTACCAAGAATCTCCACCATTGCTTCTTCAAGATCTCAAGGTTACTATCAAAGAATCATCACTCATTTTCCCATCTGATGAAACCAGTGATAGAAAATCCATGTTCTTGTCCAACGTCGACCAAATACTCAACTTTGACGTCCAAACAGTTCATTTCTTCCGACCTAACAAAGATTTTCCTCCGGAGATGGTGTCGGAGAAGCTGAGAAAGGCGTTGGTAAGAGCTATGGACGCTTATGAGTTCTTGGCCGGGAGACTCCGGGTGGATCCTAGCTCTGGACGACTGGATGTTGACTGTAATGGCGCCGGAGCTGGCTTTGTGACGGCGGCGAGTGAGTACACGTTGGAGGAACTTGGAGATTTGGTTTATCCAAATCCAGCTTTTGCTCAGTTGGTTACAAGTCAGCTTCCAAGTTTGCCCAAAGATGATCAACCCTTGTTCGCCTTTCAGGTAAACAACCTTTGCTTTCTAATTTTTTGTTCCAAATTGATCATAAATCTAATTAACAAATCACAAGTTTCTTTTTCTTTTTCTTTTTTTCTCTTTGCTTGTTGTCAACATCACAATTTTCTTTTAATAGGGAAGAAAAAAAGACAAAAGTTTTGAGTGTATAAACACAAATAAGCTTTCTTAGAATCAATAAATTTTGTAAACTTTTAGCTATTTTGTAACCTTGATGGAGCTAGGGATCTCAAGGATCTAAGTACTTTCATGATATTTATATAAATCCAGTTCATATAGGTAATAGGTCGTTGGTCGAGGACCATGTGGGTATAGGTTAGAATTTGAGTTTTTCTACTACAATTTCCAATATAATTGTCTATTCTTCTATAGAGTACAAGGATTAATTCGGAGTTTTGTTGTGAGATCCTCCGTATTCAAAATATAAATGTTTAAGAAAGTTGCACCATGTATGTCAAGGTATAACTCTACAAATCTTATGTTTTATAGTAGAAAATTTTCAATAAATAAATATAAGATAACTAGCTAAGAAAAGAATTATAAATAAATAATAATAGTAAAATTTTGATTCTTAATTCAATTACTTAAATCATCTATGAAATACAGAACTTAGGTCAAGTCTCGACAGTATGGAGTTTTATTTCTATTTGTTTGTAACAAACCATAAACGAAAACATAAATATTTGGGATATTGACTCAAGTAAAACATTCTTAAGAAATCTTTTAAGTAAATCACCCACCCTATGAAGACTATATATACATCATATATGTCAAGTATAACGAAACATGTAGTTACAAAAAAAAAAAAAAAAAAAAAAAAAAAAAAAAAGAAACATGTAGTTACATGTGTGACATATATATATATAAATATATATACTCGGACATATATCTGTTCCAGTTTCGCCTGTGGACATGTAATATGCCAAAAAAGTTTGAAATTCTTCCAATGTACAATACTGACACATAATCTACATTTGCTTGTTATTTATTACTCTTTTATTTATATAAAAACTAGACATACATTTTGAATTTACACATTAGCATTGTCAAATTATCAAACTATAGAAGCAAGTGAAAAATGTTCATCATTTCAAAATAAATAATTGAATCTAGAGTTTTTTTTTTTTCTTGACATCAAAATTTGAATCTAGTTATTTGTTACTTCGTATAGTATTAATTAAACTTTATAATATATGATTGTAACATAAATCTACTTGTTCCGCGTGAAATTAAAACGCTGGTTATTTTTGTTGCTCATTTATTGAGTCCTACCAAACTTAAAGCAATCTAAATTAATGTGACATAACTCTGTTTGATATATACTGCCAAATAATGTAATCATCACTTTCTAAAGAAAATTATATAAACCATGCATATAATGAACATATAGGTAGTAACTAGGATAAGGTAGTAACTATAGTATTGTCAACATCTTTTAATTAGATGCGTCATAGTATGTAAATATACTATGTACAGTATATAAATAATTTTGCCAAACTTGCAAGTTTTAAAAAATAATTTTTTTTCAACATTAGTTTTCAAAATTAAATTTTTTTCTTTTTTAAACAGTAAATAAACTTTACATTGAAATTTAACCAAACCAAAAAAATACACATAAATCATAATATTTAACAAAAATATATATATATACCCATAATGTACGTATAAGTGATTTAAAATAGTATACCTTGAAAAAAAAAATCTATGTTTGGTCCTTGTAGTTGAGTTTATCATGTCATGGAGATGCATGTATGTACTTAAAAATGAAAATTTGGGCAGGTAACATCATTCAAGTGCGATGGATTTGCAATGGGAATCTCAACAAACCATACAACGTTCGATGGGCTTAGTTTCAAAACATTCCTCGAAAACTTAGCCTCTCTACTTCATGAGAAGCCCTTATCAACACCTCCATGCAACGACCGTACTCTTCTCAAAGCTCGTAACCCACCAAGTGTAACATTCCCACACCACGAGCTTGTCAAGTTCCAAGACTGTGAGACAACAACAGTCTTCGAAGCCACTTCACAGCACTTAGACTTCAAAATCTTCAAGCTATCCTCTGAGCAAATCAAGAAGCTCAAGGAGAGAGCCTCGGAGACTAGTAGTGGTTATGTTCGCGTGACGGGTTTCAACGTTGTAACCGCTTTGGTCTGGAGGTGCAAGGCACTCTCTGTAGCAGCAGAGGAAGGAGAAGAAACAAATCTTGAAAGAGAATCAACGATTCTTTACGCGGTGGACATTAGAGGGAGGCTGAATCCTGAGCTTCCACCGTCCTACACTGGAAACGCGGTTTTAACTGCTTACGCAAAGGCGAAATGCAAGGCATTGCTTGAAGAGCCGTTTGGGAGAATTGTGGAAATAGTAGGTGAAGGGGCAAATAGGATAACGGATGAGTATGCGCGGTCTGCTATAGATTGGGGAGAGTTATACAAAGGGTTTCCACATGGAGAAGTTTTGGTTTCTTCGTGGTGGAAACTCGGTTTCGCAGAGGTTGAGTATCCTTGGGGCAAGCCTAAGTATAGCTGTCCCGTTGTCTATCATCGGAAAGACATAGTTTTGCTGTTTCCGGACATCGATGGAGATAGTAAAGGTGTCTATGTCTTGGCTGCTTTACCTTCTAAGGAGATGACAAAGTTTCAGCATTGGTTTGAAGACACTCTCTGTTGATTTGATGGCTTCACTTTGCATTACTATTGCCTTATTTTACTTCACATTATATGGATAATACGGTTGAAATTTGAAAGTTCAAGACATATGTATCTTTCTTCTATTTTCTTTTGAAGTACTAAAACTATGTAATGAAACACACAAAAGATATTGTACAATATCTAATCTCCAAAGAATTAAGGGTGATTTCGAAATGGAAATATATAGATATATTATTGGTCATAATTTTATAGGTTGGTAAGCTTCTGCTCTCCTTCATCCTTTGCCTGTCACTCGTCTTCGTTTTGTGTCTTTGCTCCCGCCCTGTGAAGCTGAGTTGTTTGGCTCCATGTCTCGTTGCCTCTTCCTAGAGTGAATCGAGCTCTGTTGTTTGTTTTGAGCTTGGCTGGTTTTGGTTAGTGATTAGGTAGTAGAATCCCGGCTTTTCCGATCTTCAGCTTTAGTTTATCTGGGGGAATGGATTAATCCTGGAGAATGTTGTTGTTTGTGTGGCCTTTTTTCAAGAGTAGACTTCTCTTGCTTCTTCGGATCACCAAGTAACCTCGCTATTCATGCCATCTCTCAAGTCAAAGTGAGGCTTGTGCGCTGTTGACTTGATTTTGTCCGAGACCAGCCATCTACGCCTCCTGAGCCTGACCAACCCCCTGACTAACTACTATGACATCGCATTTGCCTCTTTGCTTTTCATTTTTTCTGATAAATTTAGATCGTTGTGAATTTTGGGTTTATATGATATAATTCCCATTAAGGACAAAACTGTGTAGGAGTTTCCACTAAACCACCTACATAAGTTGCCAAACTAGAATGTGAGTTCTAAGAAACTTGAACATAATCAACTTCATTCTATAAATGGAGGAATCAGAGAAGCTGCGGGTACAGACGCTCAGGCCACTTAGGGTAAGCGCGTTTGTATAAGTTCATGCACACAATGTCATGTTGCTGCACCACTCCATTGAATATGCATTTCATCGCCCCTGCATAGTCCACATGTATAATTCTAGATACCAACTTCAACTTTTTCAATCTTTATTGAATAATAATAATGCCTTACCATGTGTGCCCACTGGCTCCTTCACACGACCACGACGACCACATTTTGACCACACTTCTACAGGCTGCACAAACAAACATTGTTCCATTCCAAAGCTTGAGGTTAATATTATGAAATAAACATAAACTCTCAATCCATCGATTCTACTTTTCCTTCTTACCTTGAACCATTTCACGTCTTCTGGGTTGTGGAACATATATCTGACTGATGCTTTCATTTTTGATACTCTCTGAGGATACCTGAACCAAACCACATTTAAAACAGCTTAGAATTACAATATTGTGTATGCAATTGTACTGTGAAAGAAGAAAGGTAATAACATTACCCAGTTAATATTATTTTCTTTAAAATTATTTTGTTGGGTTCAATGCTTTTCAAGGAACCAAGGGCAGCAATGGCAGGATCTGACCCTTCAGATATCTTTAGAGCTACCAAAGGAAGGGGTGGGAAAGATATTGGGCCGTATATTGAAGCCAACGAGAAACTCCCTGAATGCAAGAATCTCTCCATCTTGTGCTTGTCTGAGCTGAAATTGTCGGTTGAAAATACCGGCCTGGAAATTCCACCCAAACAAATATTAATAAAGATTGCAGACAGGAAAAAATACTGCAGTAGATAAAGCAGATAATTTTGCGACCTTGCAATGATTTGACGGAAACCAACATGGAACATAAGTTCTTCTTTCGTTTTAATAGGAGCTTCGTAACCATCATACTTCTTTACACTGCAAAAGAATAAACAAACGCGATGAAAATATAGCTGAGCACAGAAGGTCTCAACAAATAGAAATCTAAAGAGTGATTACCTAAAATGCAGAACTGACATCTTGGATTCATGTTGTAAAAGCCCAAATCCTATAATGGGTTTTGTGTTCACAAGGGAGGATAGTTTAGAGGCAGCACCAAGAGGCACTTCCTTAATATGCAGTCGGACATATGACCCGGTCTGTACACAATCATCTCTGTCTTCTTCTTCCATCTTCAGGGCTTGTTTGAGCACAAGCTTTTGAGTCCGGGCAACGTTATCAAAAGCAAAAATTCTGGCATAGTCCTGAGGTAGAGACTCCTGCATTTGCAAACAAATAATAAAAATTAGTAACAACACTTTACAGGCAAAAAACTAATCAACATCAAGATCAGTGTTACTACATTTGGATCCCACGAGGAGGTTCGGAAGGATTTAAGACCCCTGTACTTAGCGAAACGTCTTCTTGCAGGAACATCAATGGGAGTCTCTACTTCATCTGGAAATTCTGGCAAAACATAACAGAAAACCTTACTTCACTTCTTATAATGAGAAAATACAGGGAAGACAAAATCAATGAGAACTTGAGAGATTCAGACACTTTAAGGACTCAAATGAATATGTGTACATATACACAGACACACGATAACTTATACTGAAAATAACTCCACAAAAGAAATAAACACCAACCCTCGTCATCAGCATGTGCCTCTTTGATTTTCTTTATTTCATCCTTAATTTGTTCATCTGTCAAGTCTTCATCATCCTGAACAATAACAACGAGCAGATTGGCTTGTAACTTTACCAAGATACTCAACCATAATAAAAATACAGTGAAACTACAGGTACTATTTTCGCAAGTGACAGAAAAAGTAGACAAACACTTACCATCATCTCGGAGTCATTCTGAGTTCCACTATCAAAATCCCGCACGTTCAGTGATTTTTCGTCATCCTCAAATTCTTGGTCATACTTTCTTTCCTCATTGGCATCCTCTTCTCTATCCAATACCATACCGTTATCATCAGAATCACCAATATCAGAATCTTCTTCATCTGTGTCATCCACAATCCAAGCAGCCTGGAAACCAAATAATAAACAATTGCACCAGAGAGAAAAATAGGGTAAGAACATCAGGTTAAAAACCATCCAGAAACCTGATATTCTGAAGTCCCTCTCGGCAAAGTCTTCTTCTTTAACTTTCCCTGTTTCTGATTTTTGTCAGCCTCAGCCATTTCTTCCTCTGTTGGCCATGTCTACACAATGAAGCATTACACAACTAGTGACTTCGCAGAACAGATAACTACACAAGTCAATTTTCCCCTTCTTCAGTGAAAGAACAAATTGGACTTACCTGTTCCCCTGCTAAAGGATCTGGAGTGTTTTCAACTACTAAAGGCTCTTGTTTTATAGGATCAGAAACCAGAGACTTCAATACCTGGTCAAATCAAACACATGTAAAAAAGAATTAAGTGAACTGCCAAATAGAAGAAGGCCGTGAAAATAACATCATGAAAAGACAATAACATCTTATTTCTTAAGGAAGCAATTAATCAGAATATGATATCATGACTGAATTCCAACAACCATAAAAGTAAAAGTTTTTTTTTCTTTGAAAGATGTTGTGCAAGCATTCAACCCAATGTAACTCTTATATAGTAAAAGTTTGTCGATCAGTGAATGAAGATATCACATATATACCTCTTCATCATGTAAAGCATCTAATTCCATGGAATTCTGATTTTTCCTTTCATTCAAAGGAAATGGGTCGTTTAGCACTTCAATTTTTGAGAACTGAAAATCACCAACGCCAGAAACATGGACCTAATTTTAAGGAAAAAAAAAAAAATTTAGAGGATCGGACATGGGTACAACATAAGTCATGACAGAGAGAGAAAGGCTTGATTACCAGCTGATTTATAGACAGTTTGCGAGCACGCAAGTAACCAGAGAGAAGTAGAGTGCACTTTCCTGAGCTTTCATCATCCACCAGCATCCCAACCTAAATGCACCACTCAAAATTATGGAGTTATTATACTTTTTTACAAAACCTTTTTTCTCAGTCAAAATTAGATGTTACCAAGTACCTTCTGAGCCACAACATATGTTCTTTGACTCCGCCAATGAGGTACAGTAAGCCTTTGTGCCTTGAATAACCACATAAACTGCAAACATTCCCAGAAGCATGGATTTACATCATCTAGACTAAACATGACTAATTAAGGACCTTAGATCTATTGAAAACGGCTTACTAAGATAAGAAAATGTACCTTATGCAACTCATCTCTGGTATCTGCTGGATAAAACTTACAATCCTCAGGAAATTCAGAAGCAAGTTGAGAGGCACATATCTTCTTCAGCTCATTTTTCTTTTTTAATTCACTCGGTAAATCCTACAATCATACAAAACGAACTTGAGAAGCTCAACTTCAAGAACAACATTTAAAAAATATATAGACAAGCAAGAAACTTACACGAATCAATAAAGTGGTGCTTGGTAGACCAATTGATCTAAACACAGAAAGACACTGATTTCCAAATGAATCTATATAGTTAGATTTATTCTCTTCCCATGGAGAGCTTGCAGATGCAACAAAAGCCATCAAATCAGCAACCTATTTATTAACCAGTAAGAAATAAATCAGTTAACAACTGTTACAAACTCTGCTCACTGAAAGAACCAACAAAAGTAAACAATAATTCACATGCCTTGGCCATTTCCATGCATGTCAAAAGATCCCCGTGAGGCGCCTTTAACACCTATAATAAATTCACAACATCGATCACACTAAGGATTCGACTTATCAATTAATCTTAGTTCCACCATATATCATAAGGGAATAGACATACAGTTGCTTTAAGCTTATACTCAGAAGATGCAACTGTGGAAGAAGAAACGACTCCAGAACCATCAGAAGATAATAGCTTTAAGATATTTTCATTAAGTGAATCCAATTCCACAGAAACAGAGAGAGGAAACAAAACCTATCATCATTAGCAAATACAAAACATAAGGGTGATGATTGCAACAAAACACACATGAAACAAGTAACAATGTAAACTCACGATAACACGAGGAGCACTGTTTAATCCTCCTGATGCTCTCTTCTCCTTCAAAACTGTTGCCCTTTTCTGCTCTCGAAGCTAACATTAAACAAAAATCAATAAAAACACAAATTCAAAATCTTGATAACTCTGTAGAAGGAGAACTTTACCATCTTGCCACGCTGAAGACGAGCAGCTTTAGCACCTTTAACATAGTTATTACTGTCTGATTTCCCAATCCGGCAACTATCTGGTTCAATAAAACGGTCGGGAGATTTCAGAATCTGAAGATGGGAAACAGAGGAACTGTTTAAGGCTTAAAGAGTTTACCTTGGAGGGAAGTTCTGTGGAGATTACGAGAAGATTTGGAGGTAAATCTAGTCTTGTGAGCTTTGTTAACTTGAATTCTAGAGTTTCCCATGGTTGCTGGATTGGTGACTGCACCGTGCAAAATATTATAGCAGAGCACGTAAAGCTCCATAATCATATGAACTTATGATTCATCAAAAACTTTCCCAGATTCTCAAATACGACATTCTCAAAATGTAAGTAACAGAAGCTGAGAGAAGAACTAACCTCACAACTTCGAAGAAGAGATTAAAGCTGACGCTGAGACTTGCGAAGAAGAAGCGATGGAGCCATGGAGGGTGAGAGACCGCGAGGAAGAAGAATGGTGAAAACGACAAAAGAGCTAGGAGCTAATCCGTTTAAACGACGTCGTATTATATTAAACCCTAAAAAAAGGTTTAGGGCTTATTCCCAAGTATTAAAAGATTTTTAGTTTACTTTTTAACTGAACAAAACATTTCACTATTTCATGTTGATTCTTAAACCATTTTATCATTCCCTCATCTCAAACATTTTACCGATATTATGCATTATACATATCCACAAGAAGTAAACAAAAAGGATAAGTTGAGGGATGTAACCAAAAAAAAAAAAAAAGATGAAACAGTAATGAGACTTTAAGCATTTTCATTTTCCAATCTCTCTGCTGCGTCTTCAACTGTAGGTTGTGGCTTTGTGGATGGAGGCAAACAGCGTTTTGAGAAGAATGTAGATATCGTTTTTGGTCTCTTACCGCCTTTATCTGGTGATGGTGATAATCCAAGCTTTGTTAATACTTCTTTCTTTACCTGTTCAATAGAACAAAGGATCGCAGGGACGTTGATAAGCATCTCTGTTTCAAGGCTAAATCTCAAAAGAGAAGATCGAAGTATTAACTAACCTGCCAACGACTATCCTCGAAATCTGATATTTCACGCACTTTTTGTCTAAGCTTGGTCTTTGGAACATCAGGGAACTTCTGCTGCAATGTTTCAACTACTCTATTGATACCTTGAGAGCATGATTGAATAGTTGATACCTGGACGCCAAATTCTTGTTAGAGCTAAGTAGCAATATATAAAAAATGTTATTTGTTTTGAGAGATCCACTTACAACTGTAAGCAAATCTGAGTCGGGTATGGATTTTGCTTTTGAATTAGATGGAGGAGTGCTCTGGCTACAAGAAGACTTGCTGGTTTCTTGATCCTCATCTTGAATGTCATTGATCGATATCTCAATGAGAGAAGACCAAGGGAATGGTCGCACCATGAGAGCTCGTAGACATATTTGTTCCACTTTTTGTGTCCCTTCTAGATCTTTAGCAGCTAAGAGAGGGACCTTCTCATGCGTTAGGTTACATATGATCAGTGGCTGCGTTTTCTTGAGAGCGTGGTCAGTTAAACTTTGCAGATGTTTTTGTTGTTGGAGTAATACGCAAAACTCTTGATTTTCTTGATCTTGCTTAGATGATGGCGTACTTGCATCCTGTTCAGACGGATCAATGTCCATTCTGTCCACTTGGACCCCCTGAAACGAAAAATCACAAAATCTTTTTCAAGAAACTTTACATTCGTTATAAATGAGGAATTCAAATTGTAACTTGATCAATAGTTTGGATACTCCAAAGAAACGCAACCTAGTTTGGATACTCCAAAGAAACGCAAATTTGGCTTTATCTATTCCTAGACTGCAACCTAGATTTAGAATAATCTATGACGAGTTAATTAAAAACTGCTTTGTTACCTCATCTTCTGATAGATATCCATCAGGAACCATAAAGTCATCTTCACTATCATCTTCATCATCAGCCTTTGAACATCCTTCTTCCAAACTGTCGTCTTCATCTTTCTCACAATCTGAAAGGCTTTCACCAGCTTCTTCCTGTAAACAAGTATCTTTAGTACCCAGTTATCTCTTGTCAAGTTTTTGGGTTGTAAAGTTACAATTTCCAAAAGCATGTACTAATTCAATAAAACTACCTCTTCCCATTCTTCATCACTATCAACTTCATAATCCAATTCTGGATCCTTTTGCAGAGGACGACGTGGCTTTACAACTTGACTGCAAATGTCAAACAGAAGATCCCTCATTAAGTTACAGAGGTTAGGATCTCTAAACCTAACAGTACCATTTTAAGCAAACTTAGAGAGTGTAAACTATCTTCTCCTTTAAATTGGACGGCCAGATGCATATCAAAATAAGAAATGGTGTTGTTGTAGCAGAATCACTGAGAACGTTCTCTACATTACAGGTTCACTACAATGATTGTTCAATCCAAATTGAAATGCATAAGATGATAATAACCACAGATCCAACATAGACGATGGATCAGCACAGGGTAAACTAGCGTAGGAGTATCTTTACTTCAGAGGTCATTTATCGTATGCTTTATTAAACACCATGAAAAAGTAGTCACATAGGCAGCTGAGAAAAACTTCATAACTTTTGTAAAACAAAGCTAAGATGAAAAAGTAGTACCAAACAACCCCAGGGGAAAGCTTGTAAATAAGTCAAGGCTTCACAGATATTTATTTTTGGCTAACTAATAATCTATATTATATTAGCTTACTGCTGAAATGAAAGTTTTCATATATAAGTACTAACCTTTGGCTAGGCCAGATACCATAAAAGCCTGGTCTGCAGCTTTTATCAAATTGTAGCAACTGCTTGGCCCTCCTGGACTTCTTACGATCAGATGAGGAAGACTCACACTGCCTAATGCAAGTTACACCATCAAAGTTTTTCTCTTCACGTCCATCCCCTTGCTTCTCCATGTTAGGTTCACCATCAGATGTAGCTAGTTTTAGTTTTGGAAACAGTTCACTCTTAGGCTGCCTACGCATCCCCCAATGCTTTTTCGAACTCAAGAGCGAACGACCCAACTGACGCCAGGAAGCAAAGTGTTCCCTACAAAGAAATACAACTCAGATCACAATACCCAAAGTGACACCTCAAAGAATCAGTCAACAAGGAAAACCAAAGTCATACCTGCGAATATCATCAACTGTAGCTTCACAAGTTGTTGAAAAGGCGTTGTCGATGGCCTGAATAACTGTTCCACTTTCATTATCATGTTTTGTACATGACGGCTCTAGAGCAGTTACTTCACTGGAAGGAAGTTTGGGTTGGGTCACTGAACTGTCTTTACTTTTTTTAAGAAACCGCTCCATGATTGAAGCTTGTTTCTGTACTTGAAGTTGCTTCTTTAGCTCGGCTTGTTCCTTTTCTCTACGCTTCTGCTCCTTCTCCGACTCATCTTGCTGTTTCTTTATCCGTTTTCTTGACTCAGTCTCTTCCTTTTCTTTATTATTTTCATCAATAATTGCTTTCTGCAGTAGCTTCAGCTCCTTTTCCTGACAACAGCGAACAATTGCTCAGTCAGAAATCAGAATTTGAAATCAAATAACACATCCAAAATGACCAAAAGAGAATAAACAGCACCAGAAAAGAATTCCAGAAGACAATGAAGGAAAATATCAGCTTACTTGTTGCAATCTTTCTTTCAATACTTGACGTTCCATTCTCTTCTTTTCCTTCTCAGCTTCACATCTACTTTTCTCCAACTGTTTAAGAAGCAGCTTCTCTTCTCTCTTTGAGTCTTTCTCAGCCCTTAATGACCAAACACAATAACTGAGTAAGAATAAAAAAACAAGAGAAAAATATAAACCAATTACATAACTGAAAATGCTTACATCTCTGTGCTGTTTTTCTGCATCATGTTATCCATGAATGATCGAATATCCACCTCACTTAATATTTTACCAAGCTTCTCAGACGCTTTGCTCAAATCAGATCTCCCCGACTTTTCAGTGTCTTCTCTTTGTAATGCAGCTAACATTGCTGAAATACAACATAAGCATTAGCCCCCTCACATCACTTTCATAATCATTAATAGAAAGCAACATTTACCAGAAACTGCTGTAATCCTTTCATGAATCTTTTTCCTACAAGTCCGGCGAATTTTTAACACTCCACGGATAGAATTCGGCAACATTTTCAGATCTCTCGTCTATAACACCAAATAAACATTACATCTCAAGCATTAAATGATATCACCAAGAATATAAACCACACCAAAATTACCATTTCTAGCAAGATTCAAAGATCCAAAAACCACCACAGAAGCAAGAAACAATACCAATTGAATAATAAATTACCTCCCAGCACCAAAGACAAGATTCAGAATCATCCTCCAAAACATCAGCATCTGCATTAAGCACACCATAACTCACTCTCTGACCTACAGAAACAATAGCACTCTTCACAGCTACAATAGTAACACTTTCAGTCTTCTCCTTCAATTTCAAGTAAATCTCATCAACAAGCTTCGACAATGGCAAACTCATCTCCTCCATCAACAAAGCCACCATTGAATTCACAGACGAACATTCACTAAACCTAGAAAACAGATCTGTTCTCTTACTCTGATCCATAACTTCTCGAAAATACGCGAAAAGCCCTTTCATCTCTAAATTCAACGACGAGATCTGAGCTTCTTTCTCATCAGAAGTTAGATTCTCAACCGCCGCGGGTTCTCTCTTCCGCTTACTCGGCTTCTTCGGCTCAATCATCGTCTTCCGATTTTCAATTTCATTCACCGTCGAAACTTCTTCCATCGCATAAAAAAAAAACCTAGAAAAATTAGGGAATCTATAAACCCAAGGAAAATTGAAACAAGATCTAGAATCTGAAAAATCGAAAGCGAGAGTGGAGATTTCAGATTTGTTGTTCCTTTAGTGATTTTGGATTTTACCGAATTTTCTCTGAGTTCTTAGGTTTTTGAGAAGATGAAGAAGAAGGGAGTGGGAAGATGATAGGTTTGAAAAAAAAAAAAAAATGGAGGATTCACTAAAAAAGAAGGCGTCGTTGATTTTCCCGCCAAGGAATTGACGGATGGATTTGCCTCCAAATGACACATTGGCGCCAGTTTATTTTGGAGATTAGGAAGCACATCTTTATATGGGCCTTCTTTTGTGTATTTCCAGCCCATCAAGACGGAAATTTGGGCCTCTCTTTTTTGTTCAAACTGGGCCTCTCTTTTCATGTATGTAAATCTATGGTTGAATTAATACACCTCCCAAATTATTTAGTAAGAGTTACAAATGATTAATTACTGGTTGAAGTTACAATTGAGTTTAAATGTGGAGTTTAAATTTTGGTCAATATAATTTTTTGAAAATTTTAATTTATTTTAGTGGAGGAGTGAAGTTTTTCTAATTATTGAATAGAAGTTATAAATGATTTCAAATGTATACTTACAGATAATTTTAAATGTGAGTTAGTTAATCAAAGATAAATGTTATATATGTGTGTGTGTGCTTGAATGTGGAGTTTAAGATATGTTCAATATAGTTTTCAAAAATTAATGTACTATTTTAGTGAGAGGTGAAGTTTTTCAGGTTATTGAGTAAAAATGATAGATGAATTTAAAAGTGTAGTTGCACATTATTTTAAATGTGAGTTAATTACATATAAATATTACAGTTTCGTAAAAATAAAATTTAAAACCAAATGCCAATGGTCTAGTTGGAGAAAGTGAACATCTTACTATTCAGTCTTGCTTGCTTTAGAGTTTTATAAGATTTATGTATAACAAACTTCATCATCTCTATTTTCAACATTTGTGAATTTTGTTTGATAATTGTAACTGAGATAAAAGAGAAATCTTAAATACAAGAGCAAAGTTAATAACCAATATTAAACTAGTTTAATCAATCTTTAGTATGAATGGAACATTGTTTGAAAAATGAAAAAAAAAAAAACAAACAAAAACACTTCTAACAAAGAAATAGAGAGGTCGGTAAAACTAGTTAATGAGTTAATGTTGGCTCAAATTTGTTAATGGGTTAATTTTAACTATTATTACGAAATTTAAGCTTTTGAATCAGTCGTCTCAATAAAAAACTTTTTTACAAAATCGTATTTAAAAGAATGCAAGCATATGTTGTTCAATTCAGAAAGAAATACCAACGAAGTGAATTCAGAATAGTGTAAACAACCAAAGATTCAATCGTTTATTGACAAAAGAGTCTTTACTAAGGTAAAAGCATCTATTGAGCTCAATATCTGACAAAATACTTTTATATATTCATTCTAAAATTTACTCTAAAATTTAAAAAACATGTTTGTACATATAAATATTAAAATGCAAATGAATAGTATTTTTCAGTAACAACGCGAATCCAGTTTCCTCAAAAAAAATCAGAGAAAGAATGATTGGTTCGAGCCTTAACACAAAAAGTTTGGAAAAAAAACTTTGTAGGTAGTGTTGAGGCAATAGATTGGCTAGTAGTCCTCTATTTTTGAAATTCTAAATTTCTTTGGAACGAGAGTAAATATAGTAATATTAGTGGAGGTTGGCGTGAAAGCAGATTGGTAGAATTTATTAATAGATCTAGTGACTTTCAAACTGATTTGTAGACACTTGTTGCAAGTCCATCTAGTCGTGGTGATTTTTTAAGATTAAGTAGTTTTGGAGCCACTAAATTTTAATAAAGAGTAAAACCATTTGATATTTGAGCCTGATTTTATTTATTTTAAAGCCTATGATAGTTGGAGACAATTGAAATGACATGTAAATAGAGACTAGAATTTTACTAATTTAAAATACACACCCGAAAAGTTTATATAAGTTAATAATTCAAACATTCATATACTATATTAAAAAATGTACTTAAGCCATAACAATATGAATATTTGAAATTAAAAAAAATGTTTGAATACACCTAAACTAGCTTATGCAGCTATGTGTTGTAATTGTGTTGGATAATCTTGAGTGTAAAATTTCATATTTTCTCAAATTTAATTATGAAAATTTAAACAAATGCGAAACATTCTAAGTTTTTCTCTTATGGATTGCAAGGTAAATCAGTTTTGAAGAGATCAAAGCCGAAACAATACGAGAGGAGGCAACAAATATTCTTGACCACAGAAAAGAGAAAGAACATGGTTAATGATTATAATAGTCATATGTATAATTCCACAAAATGTTAATTCACTCTATTTGTTGAATTCTATATTGGTGTCATATATTACACATTTGACTAGCTACAATAAATTCACTCTTTAATTATTATTTTTAGTGACAATACCTCGACATTCTTTTATTCTATATTGGTGTCATATATTACATTTTGACCAAATTATATAGCTTCAAGCCTACAACGGATTCACTCTTTATTTTTAGTGACAACACCTCCACATTCTCTTTATATCAAAGAAAAAAACTTTATAAAAGAAATACTTCCACATTCTTTTATTTGTAAATAAAGAGATATATATTGGTTGCAAACTTGCAATAATCAAAAACAAATAAAGTGAGAAATTAAATGGCTTGTGTTTTTTGTTTGCTGCATTGTACCAAATGAAATAACAAAACAAAAAAAATAGAGAGATGATTTTATATATTTTTAAAAATAGGAAAAACCAATGAATTGACGTTTTATTCAGTTTTCAGTCATAGGAATAAGATAAAGAACTTTTAATTTATTTTCAAAAGTAATTTTGAAAAAATAATCCAAAAAGGGTGATAAGATTTGGTGGCCATTAAAAATGCTAATTTTACGTGTGAGCTTTTTGTATTCATTCCCACGAGGCAACCCTCACGGCTCAAGCATCTCTCGTCATGCTTCTGACGTCCCCTTTTGATATGCCATTTGCATGATACTAAATAATGCGTTTTAATCCTATATATAATGTTTACCTGGTAGTCTGGTAACAGGCGATCCAGCTACCCCCGGGCATTAGTCGGAAAGCATTCCAAACTTGGGTTAGGCAGTGTGGTAGCCCATCCTTCGGGGTGGTAGTGAGTCCACATGGTAGCACTTCGGTGCGTTCCCCCAGGGCTGACCGGATCAGCCGATCGGGTATATCAAAAAAAAAAAAAAAAAAAAAAAAAAAAAAAAAAAAAAAAGTAAAGAGTTATTTAAAGTCACAAGTTTTCATGTTACCAACGTGAACTCAAAAGGCTTGTGTACCTTACTACCTTATATACTTAACATTCATCTCCACTTCCATTTTCCAATATAAGACATTGTTCTAACATAATAATTTTTTTTCTATGGTTAAAAATTAATATAAATTTATCTGATTTTGGGTTCAAAAAAATTATAAATAAAAATTCCGTAATTTCTTCGAACATTCATTGAAAAAAAATAAAATTTATTTTATTCTCATTGTTATTAACCTCTCTTCAAATTACATTCATATAATCACAAAATTCTACACTTAGACCTTGTTCTACGGTTTGTGAAGTAGTCTTAGGCCCTGTTCGTTTGCCTGTCGCTGGCGACTGAAACCAGCTACAACGACCAAAAGTTGTTCGTTTGCCTGTCGCTGGTTCAACGACCAATCGCAGCGACAGCCGCCATCGACCAGCGACCGCAATTTTCAGTCGCTGAAATTTTTACCGACCAGTCACTGGTTTCAGCGATCAGTCGCTGAATCCAGCGACATGCAAATGAACAACTTAGCGATAAAAAAATATAAATTAAAAAAATAATCAAAATAAATTAAATTAAATTAAACTAAACTAAATAAATATAATCAAAACTAAACTTAGTTAATTAAATTAAACTGAATTAGATTCAAATAAATCAAATTAAATATAATCTAAATTAAAATAAATCTTATTAAATTAAAATAAAATATAATTAAGTTAAAATTAATCTTATTAAATTAAAATATATTAAATTCAAATAAATCAAATTAATTTTAAAATTTTAAAATATAGCGACTGTTTAGAGCGACTGTCAAACGAACAACACAGCGACAGCCGCCAGCGACAGGCAAACGAACAACACATACTGTCGCTGGATTCAGCGACAGGCAAACGAACAGGGCCTTAGTAACAGTCAATGATTTTATTCTGTTTATATGATCATCGATGATTCGATATACAAAATGATGACAATCCACAACAATAACAAAAACAATCGGAATCAGTTCGATTGAATTTATGTTTAATTTTTATAAGAAAGTCCAAAGAAGAGATGATGAATTGAAAGTTTATCAAGAATAATGAGATCTTTTTTTTTTTGTTAAAGATAATGAGATCTTTCACATTATTGAGAAAGTATGAAGATAGATACGTTGATGATAGTGAAGTGAGACATCTTGGCCAACAATAGAAGAAGATTCCATAAAGGATTGGATGAGTGCAAAGTTTAGTTGGTTGGTTGCGTTTCTTTCTATTTTTATATTCTTTATTTTACATTACTTCCTATTTTTATATTCGTTTTTTTACATTACTTCCTATTTCCAACTATTTTTAAAATTTATTTTTTTAATTTCTCCTCCACATGATTCCCTTTTCGTCTTATTCTTATTTCTTTCTGTCTGTCCCCATAAAATATTATCTAGAAAACCCAAAATACTACCATTTTGTTTGTAATAAAAATAAATGGAAAAATCGTTTCATTAATGTATGAGCTTTTTAGAAAATAACATGGATTTGATTTTTTTTTAAATAAATATGATATTATATATCTTTCCGATTATATGCTAAATTGTATAATATTATTTTATTCATATTTTAATTATACACAAAATAATACTAGTTATTTATGGTTGTCTCATCGTAGTTGTTTTCAGGGATAGACTCACTAACAATTGGAGTGGGTCATCTGACCCGGGTAAAATAAATAAATATGCTTTTATGCGTGTAAATTATAAAAG